CCAAGACAACGGCTCTTAATGCAGGACGGAACTGTAGTTTCTAGCTTCGCCACTAGGGGGCGCAGCCATTTTGTGAGAAAAGTTCAGATGTGAAATAATGTTCAGGAATCAGATCAGCAGAAGTTGTTTGTAGGTAGTTTATGTGTATTTATGTCCATCAGAGTAAGATACAGTCTATTTGTGTTTAATAAGATTAATATGTATATTTTGTTACTTTAGACATTTTCTGTTTGCTCATTTTGCCCAGAAGAAGCTGAGTTTTACTATAAAATGGTGAATTATATTATGTTTAGTTTCTTTTACTGTAACTTTATTAGTAACTGAAATATAAGGCTGGAGAAATGAGAAGTTTTTTTATTTTCCAAATATAGCTAAGCTTAAATGCTTTTTTTCTGATTGGCTAGCTGATTAATGCTGGTTCTATTTGATAGCTTATAGCTGGAACTGATTGGCAAGCTGATTAATGCTAGCTCTGATTGACTCACTGATTAATGCTTTTTCCGATGAGCTAGCTGATTAATGCTGGTTCTGATTGGCTAGCTTATTGCTGGCACTGATTAGCTAGCTGATTAACGATGGCACTCTTTTTTGCTAGATTATTGCTTGCACTGATTGGCCAGCTGATTAATTTTACCTCTGATTGGCTGGCTGATAAATGCTTTTTCTGATTAGCTAGCTGATTAACGATGGCTCTGATTGGCTATCTGATTAATGCTCGCTCTAATTGGCTAGCTGATTAATGCTGGTTCTGATTGGCTAGCTCATTGCTGGCACTGATTAGCTAGCTGATTAACGATGGCTCTGATTGGCTAGCTGATTAATTCTACCTCTGATTGGCTAGCTGATTAATGCTGTTTCTGTTTGGCTAGCTTATTGCTGGCACTGATTGGCTAGTTGATTAATGCTAGCTGTGATTGGCCAGTTGATTAACTCTGATTGGCTAGCTGATTAATGCTCACTCTGATTGGCTAACTGATTAATTATTTTTTCTGATTGGCTAGCTGATTAATGCAGGTTCTGTTTGGCTAGCTTATTGCTGGCACTGATTGGCAAGCTGATTAATGCTTTTCCTCATGAGCTAGCTGATTAATGCTCGCTCTGATTGGCTAGCTGATTAATTCTTTTTTATTGATTGGATAGCTAATTAATGCTGGTTCTGTTTGGCTAGCTTATTGCTGGCAATGATTTGCTAGCTGATTATTGCTCGCTCTGATTGGCTAGCTGAAAAATTCTTTTATCTGATTGTCTAGCTGATTAATGCTGGTTCTGTTTGGCTAGCTTATTGCTTACACTGATTGGCTAGCTGATTAATGCTTTTTCTGATGAGCTAGCTGATTTATTTTCGCTCCGATTGGCTAGCTGATTAAATCTAGCTGTGATTAGCTAGCTGATTAATTCTCCCTCAGATTGGCTAGCTGTTTAATGCTGGTTCTGTTTGGCTAACTTATTGCTGGAAATGATTGGCTAGCTCGTTAATGCTTTTTCTGATGAGCTAGGTGATTAATGCTTGCTCTGATTAGCTAACTGATTAATGTTTTTTTTTTTTGATTGGCTAGCTAATTAATGCTGGTTCTGTTTGGCAAGCTCATTTCTGGCACTGATTGGCTACCTGATTAATGCTTTTTCTGCTGAGCTAGCTGATTAATTTTCGCGCCGATTGGCTAGCTGATTAAATCTAGCTGTGATTAGCTAGCTGATAAATTATTTTATCTGATTGGCAGGCTGATTAATGCTGGTTCTGTTTGGCTAGCTAATTGCTGGCAATGATTGGCTAGCTG